ACAACGTCAATGCATCAGGTGCACAATCTGCACTAATTCGGATGGACAATTCACTGGTTGCTCGCTCTCGCTCTCTCTCTCTCTCTCTCTCTCTCTCTCTCTCTCTCTACAGATGCCACTTTCCTTTCTATTGAAGCAAAAACAACCCTCTGCCAGCCCTGGAAAGTGATCAGACTTCTGGTGAGCTTCTGGTTCCTTTCACTAACCAGGATCTAGATTCACACAACATTAAATATAAATTTCAAAGGAAAAAGTTAAGTTATGGAGAAAACTTACAAGTTGCACCAAATACCAAAGTAATAAATTAGATCATCGAAAAATGTAATATCCATTTTTATTAATTACAGGTGGCAAGCAGCCAAAGCAATAAAACCTTTTTCTTCCCTTTCCATTTCAAAAAGGATTGCAATAGAGACAGAGCATGCACCAAATCCTGGTCAACGAGGGACCAGGGCTAAGCAAAATTGAATGCAACCTTCATTCACTTCTGCTGGTGCAGACGCAGTTGGCCTCTGTGCCAATCATGTTAAAGCAGGGTATGGAAACATTTCAGCCTAGGTTCTCCTCTGTTCCCAGCCTAACACGTGGACAGGTTTCTGTGTGTTTGACCACTCATGGTTCTCTCTCACTATGAAAAGGGAAGAGGTTGAGTTTTAGAGGAGGGCCTGAGGGCAGGAAAGAGTGCAGAGGGAGGGAAGCAGTCTAGACAAGGGATGAGGGAAGTAGCCACCACCTATGGGATGGTCAGATCAGAATGGCCTAGTCCAGGGTAGGGTCACACAGCCATTGGAAGGAGGGGAGAGGGGGGTTTTATGCAAAGGTCTATATGGTAGACTACTAAGCATGTTAGTTTACTTCGTGGCAGTTAAGCTGCATTCAGGCATGACTAATTGCATAAAGGGAGCATTCTTGGAGAGAAGGCGGCTGAGAGATTTCAGACAGGTTTTCAAAATCGCAAGCAAGCTGGACAAAGTAGATAGAGAGAAGCTGTTCCTAATCATAAAAGAAAAAATAGAATAACAGAGCATAGATTTAAAGTGATGTGCAAATGAAGCAATGTGATGTGTTAGGGTATAGAAATGTGGCAGAGGCAGGGCCAATTGAGGCATTCAAGAGGGCACTGGATGATTTTTTTTGCATAGAAATGGTGTGCAGGATATGGGAAAAAGGCTGGAGACTGGTACTAGATAATAGAACCAGCACAGGCACAATGGGCTTAATGTCCTCACTCTGTGCTGAAATTCTGTGATGAATAACATTAAGCCTCTTAAATAATAAATGCATAGACAAACGCCTATTTGATACACAGGCCTGGGTGCCTCCAATATTGCATGCAGACATCTGCCTTAGAATGTACGCACACTGTTCATAACATTGGATATTTGCAGAATAGGTGAATCATTACCCACTTAACTGGATACCAACATGTCCAGTATTTGGAAAAGAGATAGTAGGATCTGCAGATGCTGGAGAATCCGAGACAACAAGGTGCAGGGCTGGATGAACACAGCAGGCCAAGCAGCATCATAGGAGCAGAAAGGTTGACGTTTCGGGCCTAGACCCTTCATCAT